GCTACGTGGCCTCTACAATTGAAACGAAAGCCAAAAAACTGAATCGAAAGTCGAAACATAAGCATGCTACATGGCCGCTACAATTGAAACGAAAGCCACAAAACTGAATCGAAAGTCGAAACATAAGCATGCTACATGGCCTCTACAATTGGAACGAGAGCCAAAAAACTGAATCGAAAGTCGATTCGACATGAAATGCTTCCAACTCTGAAGCCTCTGTTCGGCGGTGCAGCTGCTGGCTCGGTGCTGCAAGCTTGAGCCGACAGTCACCAAGAAAGACACTTAGACCGTCTGGAGTTAGCCAACCAATTAAGTTCCTTATGCACAAGGCACATGCCCTTTCATCTATCCATCTATCCGTGTATCCATCTACCCATCTATCCACTTATCCGTCCGTCCGTCCATCCACCCATCCATCCATCCGTTGGTCTGCCTGTCTGTCTATGTATATGTCTATATAACATTTATAAAACAGATGTTTGTAATGTTGTGCTCTCGTATATACACCGACAAACATGTCTCCATTGGACCTGTATGTGTCTGTGTGCACGTGCTTGTCTACGTACGTGCGGTGTGTGTGTGTGTGTGACAGACAGACAGACAGACAGACAGACAGACAGACAGACAGACAGACAGACAGAGTGAGTGACTGACTGACTGACTGACTGACTGACTGACTGACTGACTGACTGACTGACTGGCACCACCTCACAACAAACACACATGCATACCAACATAACCACCTGCGTGCACGTACATATTAGAAGCCTTCTTTTTCCACACTGTCTTTATCAATCAACATGTGATCACGCCCGTTACGCACGTGCCATGTATGGCAACATTTGTCTATGTGAGCTTCAGGCAAGTGTACACACGTATCTGTACCAAGTAATGCGAAACTGTGGTCTTGATTTTGCGCATGAACTCTTTGCTTTGCCAATTGCTCGTGCTTTGGATTTAGTTTTGTCTCGTTTTGGCACATTGCACATGCTGAAGTACATGCGCGTTGATACAACTCTAAGCTGGCTTCTGCCCAGCAACCTCAAAGAGAAATCGCACTCCTAAGTCAGAAACTCGACAAAAATTTCCGGCAACAGCACAAAAACGCTCCTGTGCCAGTTCTGTGCCTCTCTCGACCTGGCAAAAGGCCAAGAAAGGGAAATGTCAGAGGCTTCGGGGAGGACACCTGACATCGTATACTGCAACAGCGACGAGCGCGGGAATGGTTCTTCCTTTCGTAAAGAGATCGGAGGGCCTTGTCCTGAAGGGCAGCTGAAGGCAGGGAACAAAAGATACATGCGTTATATTCAGTACTGTAGGACGCGAAGTGCTACTTAGAATACCACGTCGGCAATTCTTGGTCTCAAAGATTCTCAAAGTGCGCATGTTAACAGGACCTGATCCCGCTTCCCGAACGCCTCCCCCACTCCACGAAGCCTCTTCCTCCCATCGCTCCCAGCGTTCTTGGGCCCGTCTTCGGTCCGCTTCTGCAAGGCACAGGTGAAGCTGTGGTGTCGAGGGCGCACTAGGTCAGGTCTAACGGTCTCACGATCTCAACCCGAGCCTTGTGCCGCGCTCTCTTTGACCCGAACAATCACAAAACAGCAACAAACACCAGCATAGGAAACAAGCACAAGACCGCAGTAAAAACCTGTACTGTAAGTCTGTAAGCCCCTGGACAAACACCTGCCTGCTTCTTGCAGGCCTCCATTTCGGACAGCCTTCCGCAAGAGCCTCAGGAAGTTACGGACGCAGGGGCTATCTCGGGCTTCACGGCGAAGTGCTGACATCGCTGACAAGATACAACAGCCTAAGCCTGAAGAAGAAATGAAATGATGATGTTAGTAGATTAAGTCGATCCCCACCACCCCAGCATTCAGAAAGCCCGTTCTAGTGACCAGTGGCTACAAGTAGTGAGTACTTCGAGCCCACAACGAAGAGTTCATACTGCACTATGTTGTATTATACCGTACTGTATTACATGCTGTTCTATTTCATGGTATTGTGTTGCGCTGTGTTATAACATAGCCAAGCATCGCGTAGTATAGTGTACTTGATAGACTACATTGTAGTCTGTTACAGCCTTGTACACTACAGTACAGTATAATAGAAGATCTTACTGCTTACAGCATAGGTTACGACGGTAAAGTTTGAAAGAGTATGTGTGCCACTGCATACTTTCTCCTATACTGTACTATAATATACAATACCATATATTCTTTCTATACTATACCATACTACACTGTATTATACTATCTTATAATGCCCTATGTCATATTACAGTGTGGCACATCTTGCTGTTTCATGCTGTACTATGCCATATTATCTCATATCATGTTGTAGTATAGGATAGAACAATCTAGAACAGTACAGCATAGTATTGTACGATGTCCAATCACTATGGTAAAGCAGAGTCTCGAACAGCATGGCATGGTATAGTATAGTACAGTCCAGAATAGTGTAGCATAGTATAGCAACGTGTGGTATAGTGTAGTGCGGTATGTACAAAATAGTACATGCTTGCATGTGTATATAGATATATATATATATATATATGTGTGTGTGTGTGTGTACAAGTATGTATGTACATATGCTTGCATGTGTATGTGTACATTTATATATGTATATATATATATATGTATGTATGTATTGATTTGTTTGTTTGAATATACTTATGTATGAATTTACATATGTGTGTGTCTGCGTGTATGTGTAGGTACATGTATATGTATGTGCATATGTATATGTATATGTATATGTATAATATACAAAAAACAATAAATACATATATAAATATATGTATGTATGTGTGTATCTGTATTATATATATATATATGTATATATATATATATATATGTGTGGATGATGCACAAAACTCTCCTAGGTCTTGAGCGACAGAACAAAATCGCCAAGATCAGTTCTGAGAATAGACACGCCGCAATATCAGTCGTTACGGTAATCGCAGCAATGACGGATCATCCATCGCCCGTCTGGCACGTACTGTGCATCAGCAACCATACAGGAACCACATCGGCATCGGCAGCAGATTCAACAAGCTGAAGACGAAGACAACCTGGAAGTACATTTCTGATGAGTGCTCACATGTATCCTTGTAAGAGAATCACCGGCCCAAGCCCTCACATCCATGCACCATGCAGAAACAAGAACAGAACCTACTGAACTGGCCGGCCGGCGCGTAGGCCGCACGGAGCTGCTGGAAGTCCTGGCATGTCACTTCGAGGGGTCGTGGCGATGACCCTGTGTCCCGGCAGAGTTCTTTCTGTTTTTGGGAACCCTCTTTTCCTACCGCCCATGTGTGGAGTTGGAATCTTTAGGATTTCGTCGACGGACTCTGTGGGCTCAGGGTTGCGTTTATGATGGTTTTGCCCTTGGGCGGCAGGCTTGTGTCCTCACGCCCGGACGCTGTCATCAGAACCGTAACACGAAACCCGAAGCCCTAAACTAACCCGAATATCCCAGAGCACGGTCTCAAGTCTCGAGGTCAAAGGTAACTTCAGCGCCGTGAATCAGGCTTGCAAGGCAAGCATGGAGCCCTGCGGCTCAGGATGCAAGTCCTGAGCACGCTGAATCCTGAGCATTAACCAAAAAGCGTATTTGAATCCGTGCTAACATGCTTTCGACGTCTAAATCCGAATATGGCTCGGATTTAGCAGTGCAAAGGGTAGCAATGAGAACTCGTCTCCCAACTGCGGCCCTTTCCATTTTCGCCATCTCCTGTCACGCACGAGAGGTGACCGGCACCGCGCACAGCCGCCTCACAAAGGTGGATGCTCGTAGCGCTCCTTGTTCCCCCAATCTGGCCACGGGAGGTCCTGAGCTTGAGAACAACGGCCGGAGCAGGAGCAGCAGCAACCACAGCTCTAGACAACCGTGTTTGCAAAGATCTCGCATCCGAAATCCTAATCACTGAAACCCTTGGCCGTAAACCCCCTGGAAAAATGCGCAGTTCCTCCCAAGTCTCCACGTCCCAAGGGTTCGGGAGAGGCTGGAAAAAAGACGCGCGCGGCGTTTCGGCCTCCCGTGGAGTCCTCGCCTGCGCCTGCTCTCTATTCTGCTGATTGTAGGCGTCCTTGGCTGTGGGGTTTGGTCGCGGAGTTAAGACGGCGCATGGTTTGCGGGCCTCGGAAGCTCTTACTTACATGTGCTTCGGAACTGGAGGGCCCCACCATCCATTCATTATCATTCATTGACATTGAGCAACCTTCTACTCGTTTTTGACTCACTGGGCACACCGGCCCTGGGCATGTTCTGGGGAAACCAGATGTCTTGAACCAACCGCACTGCATCCCTCTGCTTCCCTGTGCATGCAGTCTGGGCGGAGGGTTGCACACATAGTAAGAGGACCTTGCAGAGCAACGACGAACAAAGCCGGCGACGGCAAGGAGGCAGATGACTCTTTCTCTGAAAGATGACCCGTGGTTGGTGGTGGTGGGTGGTGGGTGGTGAGTGGTGGCAATTGAGCGCGTGGAAGGATTGTAGTCAAAACGACATTCACGAAAGGTCTTCTTCCCATGATTTCTCAACCTGGCTTCAAGCAAGAAAAACTGCCCATGGGCCACTAAGTTTCCTGGTATCTTTTGACGTTCCGACACTCTCTCTCCAACCAAATGTAGTCACTCACCCGGTGGCCGTTCGCTGTAGCTATGGGTAGAAGCTCGCGCGAGAAACGTAGCTCCAGCTCCTCAAGAAGTGTCAGGGCAGTACCAGTGCGGTCGCCCCTCCCGGTTCGTCCGATCCGATGGACGTACTTGAGTAAAGCATTCCTTCCCCCCGAGGGATAATCATAGTTCACAACCCAAGCGCAGTTAAAGAAGTCGAAACCTCGGGAGAGGACATCAGTTGTCACCAGAACACGGGGCTGTGGACAGGAGCCATCCCTGAATTTGTTGTAGATGACGTCGGAATACCACAGGCTTCGGGTTCGACCGAAACCTTCGATATCTCCGGGCTCGAGGACCCCGGCCTCCTCAAGAAGCTGAACCACTCGCCCCACCTTTCCCTTTGGGTCACGGTCGGCATTTACGAACACAATGACTTTCGCGCCGGCTTTGATCTCATCAGGCACTGGTGTACCATCTCTAGAGCAGCAGATGGATCGAATAGCTTTCACAAGAGCCTGGTCTTTCGTTTCGCCTTGCCTCCACTGCCAGGGGTCTGCAGGGTCAGCACGTCCAGGGCACCAGAATCGCTGCGTCACACGTTCGCAAGCTTTCAAATCTGTTCCGCCCACAGCGATGCGGAGGCCGCGGTCAAGCTTGATGTCCTTCAATCCATCCCTCCATGTCGCAGTGAAGAGCAGCGTTTGCTTGTCTTTGCGTGTGCTCTTCATGAGAATCTGTAAAGGGCTGATCATATCAGAGGCGTTCTCGTGGTCTGGGCGCAAGAGCATGTCGTCTGCTTCATCAACCACAACGTATGTTGTGCGATCGATGTCGAACTGTTCCGAAGAGAGAAGGTCCCCCAATTTGCCCGAGGAGGCACACAGGATGTCACATCTCCCCAGCTCAGGCCCTCTGTCACCTGTGCTGCAACTCACCACTCGTCTTGAAAATCCACCATATTTACACCATGCCTCTGCCTCTTGCGCAATTTGTTGGCAGAGCTCTCTCAAAGGAAGCAGGACCAGGGCAATACAACCATCGTGAGTCCGAAGGGCTGGCTGCACCTCTACATGTTCCAGGAGAGGGAGCAAGTAGCACAGCGTCTTGCCACTGCCCGTTGGGGCAATTCCCACCAAATCCCAGCCTTGCATCAGCAGAGGCCACCCCTGCATCTGGATTGGCGTGGGCTCCCGGTAGCCTCTTCGTTTGAGCTGCTCTTTGACTGCATCTCCAAACGGCGCATACTCAAGCTTGGGTACGGGCGTCGGCATGTCTTCTAGATATTCTTGCTCCGTCTCCCAATCCACGATTTCGATCCCGTGTTTTGCACGCAGGAAGCTGCCATTGCACGTGCTGTCTTCTATAAAGAAAATATTCTGAGTATAATGTGTCGCAACACGCTGCGGCAAATCGAGGCCTCGGCGGTCCTTCTCGGGGAGCGAAGTCCTTCGCTTGCCCTTGCCTGAGGCTCAAGAGGGAAAGCATCACGAAAACTTGTCCGAGTCAAGATCATCCCGACTGCCAGAAGGCAGCGCCCGCCCCCATCTCGTCAATAGTACTAGCACACCCCAACCTCGAACCCCGGTGCTGACGAAACTCTGCCTCACAGACGAAAACGCGGCCTGTTTTCAAGCACAGCGTAATCCAGACCCGTCCAACACTGAATTTTGACCAGAAGATGAGATTAAGTCGCAGGAAACCTCATGTCTTTGTCTAGCCTTGCCTTTGCCATCCCCTTTGGGAGAGCAGCCATCTTGCCAGGAATTTCTTTGGCTGGGCTGTATGTAGTTTTCCCATGCCATGCAATCTGCGCGGAGGCTCAGGCTGAGGATGCAGGGCACGCGTCACAGTCCTGTTGGTGTCCTGTGGCTCAAGATCGCTTTCACTGCTGCTTGCTTGTAAAAGAACAGCACGCAGGAATGAACGACTGCATGCGGTGCCTGGATCCAAAATTTGCTACGGGGCAAAACAGCCTTGTGGCCTGCTGTTCCGGCGCTCACACTCGATCCGAGACCAGCGAAATCCGATGTAGAAGATGCACGAACTCAGCCGAAAGGAGAACTCCAAACCCTGCAGCTGGCCCAGATTCCTCAAACAGACCCGTACAGGGAGATCCCATCGAAGCCCCAAACTTAGACAGGCCCGACCCAATGCCCTTGGGCCTCTTTGCTTCCTCCAACATCTGGGTGCGCCAGCTTTGCCTTTCGGGGCACAGGTTTCTCTAGGCTAAGCCAGATAATCTGCACTCTGATTTAATTCTCAGTCTTCAGGTGCCCATGACGACAGATTTCGCGATTTGGAGGCTCCAGTGCCAACTAGGCAGCTTGGCTCTGGACCACTGAAGCCTATCACACAAAGCCCCCGCCACCCACAACACCCACCGAAGGGCGTCCTTGTGTTTTTGACCAACCCACAATATCAGAAGCCTTGGAGCGGAAGGCCCGGCGAAGCGCAGTGGAAAAGTCGACCTCGAATGATACTCGAATGAGTGTTCCGGAGCTCCGGGCACAAAGCATTCTCTGTGCTTTAAGGGGTATCCGAGACTAAGCGTTGCGGGTTGCAGGGTCTCGGATTATCGCATAGGATTGTGGGGATGTGGTGGTCGATCCTGTCTGCCAGGGTCTGTGCTCAACTGTCGGCACTCCAGGCACACAGACGCTTAGATTCTTAGATGTTTCTGCGTTTAAGACAAAGATACGCTGCTTTGTGGAGAGTTGGGCCTGGCTGCCCCTTTGGCCCGCTGCCACTGCTTCTGCAATCGGCAGACTCGAAGGTAAAACTGCCATCATATGGTATTCAGGTGTGTATGTATGTAGGTATGAATGTATGTATGTTATGTACCACCCCTTCATACGTACACACGCCCGATCGGAAAAGACATGAACAAACTCAGACCCGGAACTCATTCGGGCCTCGTCCAGCTCGACACCGAGTAGAGCAAGAGCTTCGGATTCCTCAGAGGCTCATATCAGGCGGTCACGGGCGTAGATCATTCTGCTTATTGGGTTTGCTGAAGTTCAGGGTTCTGGATAGCTCGCACTCTTGTTATGGACCTCGAACTATTCATGTATTGCATCTGCTGCGTCACTACCCCTCTCGCTTGCCTGCGTGCCTGCTACTGGTTTAGGGGCTGGAAGCAACCCCTTGGCCCGGAGGCCTACCCCACAGGTTCCGTGCGCAACAGTGTCAGTTAGGATGTTTTGTTCTTGTGCTTCCCCAAATGAGCCTGGCGTACGCCACGCTTCTTCCACACAGTCAGAAAAAACACACACCCCACTGCCCGGCACGCAAGCACGCACTGGTCTCTGGTTGGTCTGAGGCGAGCTGTGACCCCACACACATACTCTCTCTCTCTCTCTCTCTCCCGCGCGCGCCGCGTGCGCGCGCTAGTCTCCAGTGTCGCTGCGCGAAATAATTGAAAGATGAGGCCTGGGTATGACTCTTCCTTCCTTCCTTCGGCTGGGGTCAGGTCTGCGAGCAGACCCGGGCCTAGGCCCCCCCATTCCTTCCTCGTTGGTGGTGGGTATGACTCTTTCGCTCTCGCTCTCTCTCTCTCTCTCTCTCTCTCTCTTGCAGTCTCGAAGTGCCAGCTGCGTCTGTGATATCTTCATTCGAAGCGGTGATTGTACGATTTTCGGGCATCAGAAATACAAATGCTGGAAGGGCACATTGTGACAGCGCTGAAACTCCACCAAGAGGATTCTTGGTGTTCTAAACCCACAGTTGCAGCAGCTGGTAACGAAAAATACTTCGTGTTTACCCTGCCTACCACTTCTGAGGAAGTACCTACTGTCGCGGTCGCAACCATCATGAGCAGATGGAGGCCTCCGAGAGGCACCGCCGAGGCGAGCAGAGCCTCTCCCGGCCGAAGAGCCTCTGCGTTTCTGCGATTCTCTGTGCGTCTGCTACGGCTTCCTTGAACAGACTGCGGAGGCTATGCTACCCTTCTTGCATGACGGGCCACACGCGGTTCGGCAATCGGTGCAGCACCGATGAGGAAGAAACTTCGTCTCGACCAGAAGCTCAGCACGAATTAAGCGAGCGACTGGCAGAAAGGAACGGGCGAGCAACATCAGAAACACAAAGCATCTTAAACCCCGAATCCACAAATCCAACTCGCTCCAGTCTGCCAGTCGCAGGACATCTGGGCCCACCCACGGCCCGGCAGCCTCACCATGCTTACTGCGACTGTTGCCAATAGCCCACAATTGCCCCATAATAGCCTGCAGCTCCCATTCTTGGTTGCATGGCGATGGCGCATATGATGACTGCGGGCTCTCTGATAACCACAACTTCCAACAATACGCACGTCGCCATGATAGGTGCTACTGGCCCCGGCTCTGACTACAATTGTATTCATTCTCATCCGCAGTTTCTCTTAATATCGGCACTGCTGCTGCGCATGAGAACTTGTTTGGGAAGCTTTCCTAAGGTTACTGTGTATGACTTATATGGACTATGACAATGCCTGCTGCACATACGATATGCTTGGAATTAGTTCAAGCATTGTTCGCAATACATTGTCATTCTCCTACGAGTTTCCGACGCACTTTACCATGTTCGAACTACTCCTGGCAATAACCATTGCCTCCCATATTAGGCTTCCAGTTCACCTCCTCGTCCACTCAACTGAGTAACTTCAATCGCCTCTGTGAATGCCGCCATCCTTCTGCACGTACTTAGCGCCGACCCTTCGGGCTGAGGCACAGTTGCCAAGGCCGCAGGAAACGCTGGATTCTTTACAGATGCACCGGTCGTCTCGGCACAGCACCGCCAAAGCTACTGAATCAAATCGCAAATGTCGAATCCGGTGGAATGCTCCAGAGTCTCGGTGGGCGCTTGGCTGATGCTGACCAGGCTGTGTGCAGCGCTCTTGGCCGCAGTGCAAAGAAACTTGAGGAAACAATGCAGGGACCTGATCACCCGGTCTTGAAAAGGGTTCAGAGCTGGGCTAGGCTTTGTGGCTTCAGAACACAGAATACAGACTCTGGTCGTGCGGGAGCCTGGCCTCGGCGTCTTCCCGGAGCCCTACAGATGGAACCGGCAGCTTTTGTGCCTGAGATGATGTGCCTGGGTTTTCGAAACAACAGAAAGCCAAAACCCAACTGCCACAGCTTCAGCATCCCCACCTGCCAAACCTCACACATGCCTCTCACCCGGCTCATCAACTCGGAGGTCCGCGTCAGACTCTACTTCCGAAGAGAAAAGGCCAACGGAAGCGCCAAGAGGGCGGCAAAGGGCACGGAGACTCGATGGCCAGCACTGACGGCGCCACTGACACTGCCACTGCCGCTGACACTGCTGCTGCCACTGCCACTTAGACTGCTGCTGCCGCTGCTGCCACTGCTGCCACTGCTGCTGCCACTGCCACTGCCACTGCCACTGCTGCTGATGCTGGCGGGACCACCGTAGCCGTTGCAGTACTGGCAAGAACTTCGAGTGGTGCACACGCACACACCGCAGCTCACCAGATTCGATGGGCAGATGCCACCACCGTTGGAGCCGGAGGTGTGGCTGCTCGCCGGTGCCGCGGCGGGGCTGGGGCCCGCACTCCCGATGCTTGCTGGGCCCCCACGTCCGTCGCACCACTGGCAAGCAATCCGATCGGTGCACCTGCATACACCACAGTCGACCGCTCCCGCCACGCCGCATGAGGCCAAGTGGCGCGGCTCATTGGCACGTAGTGTGGAGTTGACCCCTGCTGAAGCAGGCGGCTCGGCCACCACGAGTCCCAAACCAGCCAAAACCATGAGGAGAGCCATCATGATCTCTAGGACAGTCGACAACACCAAGACGCTTAGAGCTCGGACCTGCAAAACAGGCTCGAGCCACCGTCAGCGCGTTTTTGGGGACTCAAGTTTTGCTTGGAGCAAATTCAATGAGGCCAGCCGACTCCTCGTCTTTGGCTCGAGCCCTGCAAGATGCGATACGAAAACAGTACTGCAACACTATGGAAATTTCCAATCCCCATGCTCAGGCTGGCATGGCAAAGCACGCCTCTCATGGCTTACAGACAAGCCCGTCAAGTGCCTGCACGTTGCAGTGAAGGCAATGCCGAGAAAGCCCCAAACGAGGACCTCAGCACATCATCAGGCAACTTCGGGCAGTTGGCTTTGGAGCCCAGGACTACACACTGGTACATGCCCTGCCAGCAGGCAGCTCTCCGGCTTCATGCACGCACTGGAGGTGTCTGTTTCAGCAAAAGCTGATCACGAGCGAGATGCAATCAGGAAGGGCCATCGCACCGTGCGACTCGCTGCATTCATCGTGCCATTGCCGAGGAAAATTCTCTGAGAGCTGTTGCACCTGTCTAGAATCTGAGGACTCGCAGCCGACTGTGTTCAATTCATCGCGCCACTCGAGTTTGCAGGAGATCAACTGTCTGCGCATGAGCTAGTTCGCTAGTCCGGGTCTTGACATGTTTGACCCAACTTCAAGCCGTTGTTTCGGCAGCGGCTTCTGCAGAGCCAGGAAGACATGCCTTCCTGCGTTCTACCCTGACTGGCTGCGACTAGTAGTCAGAAACCTTTCAAATCTATCAAAGTGCCGGCAAAATCTTTTTCTGGTGCTGAAGCTTCGGGAATCCTCCTGATTGATCGGGGACTCCATTGCGGCCAAGGTGGCTTTGCCTTCAGCACGCTGGCAAGCTATGATCCTAAACATGTGTGAGACCCAGAAGTATGGCTCAGATGTCCTCTCCCCGCTTATGACAGCCTGAAGGCTCAACCTCCGCTCTGAGACATACTGCTGAAGCTAGACGCCCTCCGGCTCAGCTCGGAGGCCGTGGGAGCTCAAGGCACGGTGGCTTCATGGGTGTCTTTGCCACAAAGCCAGTAATTCGGCCTTGCTAAAACTGTTCATCTCTTCGTCTCTTCGAAACCCTTGGCTGCGGGTTTTGAGGTGTGCTCCCTGTCTCAGGGCCGGCGACGCCTGACCGATTGTCGACGGTTAGGCCTGTCGGGGCTTGTCACTTGCCGAACCCGCATCAAGCGAGTTTTCAGGAAATCCCCTTGCCCTCATACGCGGCCTTCACAACCACTGTCTGATTAGCTTCTGCTGTGGTGCCAAAGTAACATACCTACTAAAGCTAACTTATCAATCATTACTCTGTCCAAAGTCCAAACTTCGACTCACACTCGGCATCGACCAGCAAGGAAGCACAAGAACTGACCTTTCGGATTTCAAGCCCTGGGCCTGCCGCAGAAGCTTTGCCTGATCAGCTGGAGCAATCCACACCCGCGGCTTGATCTCAATCTCCACGTCCTGGAAATGGCTTAGGCTTAGAACTGCTAAGGGTAAAGACGCCAACATATGCCTGTATGGGCAGGTCTTGATGGCATCCATGCCTGTTCATAAATTCCCGAGTGGATTCATGCTCGAAGCCATCCATGCCCAGTCCACGCCCAATGCCCGCTACGAACTGATCGAGAACACACAAGGGCCAGACGAGAACCTCGATACCATGCTGCAGCGGTTTCCCTGAGCCATATGGCTCAGATAGCAACACCCTTTCGGAAAGGAACAGTCTTTGGCTCACGACATCTCACCACCCCATTTTGCCTGACAATACAATTTACAATTCTTTTTGCTGACATGACGGCCAAGCAGGTAATCAATAAAACATGCTCACATAGTCCGCACTCAGTCGACAATCCACTAAATAAGAGAACTTGCAGGGAGTGATGCTGAACTTCTATACGCTGTGGATGGTCACATGCTTGTGCAAAGGCCTCATTCCTGCCAAAGGGCAACCGCTTACACAGAAAACAGGAACTCCACAAGTTTACAGATTCAGAATTGGGTTTCTTGCTGTCACCTTGCCAGCATATCGCCCTCCCGTTCGTTGTGAGACTCAGCCTTGGAGTATTCTACGCCCAACCTGATTTGCGAGATTCTGCTCTGTTTTGCTGCGGAAGCTCAAAAACAAAAGCCAAAGACAATTGCAGGGAAATCTTCTGCTAACATCAATAAACCTCACTCTTGCATTCAAGCCCTCGCAGTGTTGCCAAGGCTCACCGGCGTCATTGACGTCCACCACCACCGTCGGCAGCCATGCCCGATGCGTCATGGACTGGTACAAGACTCGCCTGAGCCAACGCACAAGTATCATCAGCGGTGCTATAAAGAGCACTACCTAACAAAACACATATCATCACCAGTACTACTACTGCCACCACCACCACCACCACCACCACCACCCAGATTGCTACCACTTCTTCTACTGCTACTACTACTACGACGACAACTACTACTGCTCCCACCACAACAACTACTACTACCACCACCACCACCACCACCACCAACACCACCACGACCACCACCACACCGTCATCTACTACTTCTACTACTAGTGCTACTGCTACTGCTACTGCTACTGCTACTGCTACTGCTACTGCTACTGCTACTGCTACTGCTATTACTACTACTACTACTACTACTACTTCTTCCCGACGCAGCAAGAGGAACTCGCTC